TATATATATTTGTACATATACATACCTACATATATATACACGTAACAATAATAATCAAAGAGAAAGAAGGCATCAGTGTAAGAGTGGGAGCATAGAGGAAGTCTGAGGGAAGTTAGCTGGGATGGGCTAGACAGGGAAAAGGAGGATGAAAAGTGATGTAATTATATTTCAGTTTCAAACATTGTTTTAAAGTGGTGAAGGTGGACATTCTATCTTGTTCTTGCTCTTCAAAATCTTTAACCTTTTCTCTGTTCAGCTTAATGCAACTTTTTATTATAAATGGCCTTATTTATGTTAAGATATATTCTCTCTATAAATTTGTTCAGCATTTTCTCATGAAAGAATGCTCTACTTCACCAATTGCATTCTTTTGAATCTTCACCACTGAGAAAAACCATTGAAGGCTTTTCTCCCCAGCAGCCTGAAAATAGCCTGGAAAATAGCCCCTTCAAATATTATGAGCACTGGCAGAAGTTTTTAAGTCATTTCCAGCTTAATTTCTCTATGTCTAAAAAAGAAAGTGCATTATTTTGAACCTGTAGTGGTATTTCCTCCAACCATGACTTGGGCTATAGGGCCCAAAGGAAGTGGTACTTCCTGCTGTTGTACATGACCTTTTCTAAGGAGTTGGAGAAGGGTCACATGCCCCTTCTCCCTCCTCCTGCCTGTGAGGTAGATTTGCTCCCAGTCAGATTAGAGGACAACTTTTGCTGTCTACACCATTCTGTATTCGTGAATGTATTTCCTCAATTTATATCTTAATAAATTCTGTTTCCCATTTAATAGACTCACTTTGATTGGCCATAAATTAGTGGCACTCAATGTGGGACACGAACCCACGACTCTGAGATTAAGAGTCTCATGCTCTATCAACTGAGTAGGCACACAAGAGCAATGACAATCACCTGTGTTATTCTGTGGAGCTTTGAGATCTCCTTGTCCAATAACTCATGAAGATGTATCCTATACTTAGCATGAAGATTTTCATTTAATAACACAGGACTTCTGGGAGAAAGCATTGTCAACACATATAGGGCACCTGAGTATAAGCTACTTTTTAAAAATCATATATTTTTATTACCTTTAAATTTTAATTCAATGCATTTTGATCTTTTCCATTTGCCAAGTCATCCTAGATCCTTCCTAACTCTCTACCAAACAAAGTCCATGTTATCTCTCTCTTTCAAAGAACAACAAAATAGCAAAGCGTAACAAAAGAAAGCACAGAAAAACATGGAGTCCAATTTTTCTTGTTATTGTTGTTGTTCAACTTTTCCTGAGTATGAGGCCTGCCCTGGAATGTGGTTGATGCATCCAGTGTCACTCCATTGGGAAAAAACTGATTTCTTTTATTCTCAGCAGATATCAACTACAAATTGCAAATAACTTCTTAGATAGGGGTGGGTCTTTGTTCCTACTTCCTTTCTCTGTGCTGGGATTTCATCTGCCGTGAATTTGTACACATCTTGTACATACTGTCACGGTCTCTGTGGATTTTTGTGTAGAACAGTCCCACTGATGGTCTCTGTGGATTTGTATTTGCATCCGCCCCATTGTGTCTAGAAGACACTGTTTTCTATTTTTAATTAAGAAATTTTTTATTCATTTTACATACCAATCACAGATCCCCCTCTTCCCTCCTCCAAGCCTTCCAGCCTCCCCCTAATCCACCTCCCATTCCCTCCTACAAGAAGGTAAGCCCTCCCCTGGGGAGTCAGCAGAGCCTGGTATATTCAATAGAGGCAGGTCCAAGCCACTCCCCCTGCATCAAGGCTGTGAGAGGTGTCCCACCATAGGTGATGGGCTCCGAAAAACCAGCTCATATACCAGGGATGGATCGTGATCCTACTGCTAGGGTTCCCTTTAAGTAGGTTAAGCTATACAGCTGTCTCACTTAAGCAGAGGTCCTAGTACAGGCCTGTGGAAGCTCCACAGCTGTTGGTCTAAAGTTCATGAGTTCCCACTAGTTTGGTTTGGTTGTCTCTGTAGGTTTCCCCATCATGGTCTTGATTCCCCTTGCTCCCAAAATCCCTCTTCTCTCTTTTTGACTGGACTCCTGGAGCTCAGCCTGGTGTTTGGCAGTGGATCTCTGCATCTGCTCCCATCAGTTACTGGAGAAAGGTTCTATGATGACAGTTAGGGTATTCACCACTCTGATTACTGGGGTAAACCAGTTCAGGCACCCTCTCTACTATCAGGTGCTAGGGAAGTTCCCAGAAATCCACAAGGATAACCCAAGCTTAGACTGCTGACACTATTTTCTTAGTCATTTACTACCCCTGGCTCTTCACGTTCTTTCTGCCTCCTCTTTCACATAGGTCATTACATAATTTCCCTCCTTCCATCCAACCAATTCAATATTCTCCTCTATCCCATCCAAATTCACAGCCTTTTTTCTTTGATTATTATTGTTTCAAATGCATATACACATAAATATAAATATGATTTGCTGAGTCTATTTGGTGTTGCTTATGTGTATGTGATTTCAGATATGACCATTTCCAATTTGGTATTGGAAAACCAATTAGGGAGCTTATCTGTGTGGAAGACTAATTCTCTCTCTCTCAGCACATAGCAGTTGCCTGCAGTTATTTGTCTAGTGGTGGTGCCCCTTGAGATCTCCCCTTCTGTCTTTATCTTGTCTATTTGCACAAATCTTCTTTTGATATCCATATTGTTGAGGCATCGTGGGTGTAGCTTCCTTATTATTTCTAGGAGACACAATCTCAGATCAGACTTCCCAGTCATCTGGCATTTACTCTTTTTGCCCCTCTTTTGTGATGTTCCATAAGTCTTTGGTTAAGGAGTTGTATCACATATGGATCTGTTGGGGCTTGACACCTGTGGTGATTTGAACAGGAATGACCCCCATAGATACATGTGTTTGGATGCTTGGGCCATAGGGAGTGGCACTATTAGGAGGTGTGGCCTTGATGAAGTAGGTGTGGCCTTGTGCAAGAAAGTGTGTTAGTGGGGTCAGGCTTTGAGGACTCAGATGCTCAAGCTAGGTCCAGTGTAGCATTCTCTTCCTGCTGCCTGCCAATCAGGATGTAGAACTCTCAGCTCCTTCTCCAGCACCATGTCTACCTGCATGCTGCCATGCTTCCAGCCATGATTATAATGGACTAAACTTCTGAAATGTAAGCCAGCCCCAAGTAAATGTTTTCCTTTATAAGAGTTGTCATGGTCATGGTGTTTTTTTCACAATTTCTTTTTAATAGAGACCTTAAGACAACATCCCACAATTAGGTGATCTCTGTATTATGAGTAGTTATGCTTTCCTGTAATAATCTCTGTACTATCAGTTCAGTTTGCTATCACATTATGGTTAAATTTGGTAGCTTATGTGTCATGAGAGATGTATGCATTTCTTTTAGAATTTCCAATTCAGTAACATACAGTCATGTATACTAGTTGATAATTTTCCTCTGTATTTCTGTGACATCAGATTTAATATATCCCTTTTCATATCTTATTTGTTTTATTTAGGTCTTTTCTTTTTGGTTCATGTAGCCAAAAAGTTTTGAATTTTATCTATTAA